TATATCGGATTGCTACAGAACTGGAAATATTGAAATCCTAAATCCCAAATGCGGTACAGCCAACAAAATGGCAAAGATGATGGATTTGGTGTTGTTTTCACAGAGGCTTTAAAACTAATAGAAAATGACAAAATAGATATTAAACCTTTTCAATCAAATTTACAGAACAGGAATAATTCCTGAAATTTGGCTGAGATCAATCTTTGTTATCCTACCCCAAAAGCCAAATACCAAAGCTTTCAGATACTATTGAACTGTCAGCTTATTGAGCTCCCTGTTTACGTTTTTTTTTTAAAAAATGGCAGAATTTACAAGAAAGGGCAGAAGGCATGCAATCTGGATTCAGAAGAGGATTTGGAACCAGGGAAGCACTATATTGCCTATATGTTATAGGGAGATATACCATGTAATGAACAAGGGTATCTTTGGTGGTTTTATTGATTATAAGAGCCAAAAAGTCAAACACAGCAAACCGAAAGAGTTATTGGTAAACAAAGGTTTTGATTCAAGAGATATCTGTATAATTGGCAACCTATGCTGGCAACAAAGGCAGAAATGAAAGCTGAAGATCAGATAACAGAAGACACAGATATGAGTAGTACAACGATGATATATACTCTTGGAACAGCTTTTAAATTTCTTCCGAAATATATGCTCAGAAAGGCACTTGTTGACTTAAAAGATGTCATCATTGTCAATGCAAATGTTATAACCAACATCTAATATACAGACTATATAGTACTAATAGCTAACAGTTAAGATGATCTGGAAATGTTACTCAGTAAGATAAATAAAATATGTTATGAAATAACTCATTTCTTTACTGAATATTAAGAAAACCATATTTGTAACAACTAGTTAAAAGGAAGCAGCCGAAGAAATGCAGTTAAAAATGCAAGATGAAAGTACAGAGCATGTTATATAAGTATCCTGGAATTAGGCTAAATGAACAGTGGGAATACAGCCATTCAGCCGAGGCTTGAACAGAGGCTGCCAGTACAGCTTTCTTGAGATGGACAATTTAATATGCAAAACCCCCTTAAAATTAGCTTTGAGAAGGTTCCTCGTGTTGTGCTATATATTCTTAGTTCTACTATATGGCATGGAATCATGGACTTTAACATGTTTTATTATAACAGAAGCAGCCGCAGCATTTGAAGCGGGAATTTATCACAGGATGCTAAGAATTTCCTGGGCAAAGAGGTTAGCTAATGAAAAAGTACTAAATTAAATGAATATAGAAATGAAAAAAACTGTAAAATGCAGAAGATTAGAATACTTTGGTCACATGATGAGAAATATAAAAAAGGAGATGGTTACCATTTCACATGGGAAGAAAGGATTCCTTGGGGCCCTGTGGAATGCTGCTGTAAGAAGCGGGGGTTTGCTGACAGACGTGGGGGACTGGAATGGACAAGGCAAGGAGGGGGAATGGCCTTGAAATTAAAATGTGAAAGAATATAGATGTTTAGGGTAATTCCACATATGTCTACTTGGAAGTACACTGCAGGAATTTCAGTGGGACTTACTACTGTATCAGGCAAAAGGGAAAGCACTGCAGCCTACGCAAATATACCTGGCACTAAGTCCCTACTGAATTGGCATCTTCTGAGTAGACTACTGCCGAATGGGTAGCAACAGGGGCTATGAAACAGGTATACTTTTGGGGGAAGATTACTGGCCTGCCAATAGGTGCATACATCTCCATGCAGTAATCAAAATACTCATGCTTTCTATGTGAAAGATTCAGAAATTGGGTTGAACAAAGAAAGGAAAAGAAAGGAAAAATTAGCCAGGCAGGCTATATTTTGGAGGCTGGCAGGTGGGAATGCTATGAATAATAGTGAAATGCAAAGTACTTGTGTTTTTCCATACCAGAAAAAAACGTTTACATGTCTAATATTATTTTTGCTGATTTAAAAAACGCTAAGTATTTATTTAGGCATTACTTGTTTCACCAATAAAACCTTTTTTTCCTGTGAACACTATCAAGGCAGTTCTCAATTAAAAATGGTGGGAGAGGAGAGTGCACGCATAGGCCCATGTGCTCTTGGCTATTATGCTTAAGGAAAAACAGCTGCCACCTCCAGCTGGCATCCTAGTGGTATTCCCTCCCCACATCTTACAGTTAGGATGCACACTAGAGAAGTGAAAAAAATGTACATGTGGTTGTAGGAAAGTAGTAATAGTGAATAGATCGTGTTTTTGGATGGGGGTGTGGAGAATTTTCAGAGAGAGAGAAGCTTGATGGTGGTGGTACACTCACCTTGTGAACAAATGGGAGGGCACTAGCTCCATCCCCATCAGCTTTGTGTACGTGGAGGCTGACAATTTGAAGGGGAAAGCCTTCTATATCTGTGAATTAAAGACTCTGAAAATCAGGGTTTTCATTCACTTGAAGAGTGCACACAGATATAGAAGATGCTACCTCTTCAACTCTCCATGGTTGACATGTATTAGAGCAATGGAAGTGATGAGGGAGGGGGCAACATTACAGCATTTCCTCTGCTCCTGTGGCAAGTGTACTCAAGACTTAATGACTGGATAGGGATAGAGCGGAGATTGATGGACGTGAGGAAGAAAGTGTGGGTATGCATAGGACCCATCTCATTTTGCCCATCACCCTTGTACCATCCTTGAAACATTATCTATTGCTTGACAGAGTAGCTGGAGAAACCCAACGGCAATTGGTTTAAGCCAAGTGTATGGAAGGGGGCCTTACCAGCTCACTCTTCACTCTTGCACAGTCAAATGGAATTAGGTAGTATTACTGTTATAAGACACTGGAGCAAAGGATTATAACATATCAAGAAATGGCAAGCAAAATAATTTCTCCTAGTCACATTGTTCATGGATGCCTCACCCCTCAGAACTTGTCCTATTCAAAGGAACCACTCCCGTATTTCTTTTTTTTAAAAGAAGAATTGCCAGACGCGCTTTTCCCTCAAAGCAGCCTTTCTTTGCTCATACGCACTACCTGCCTGTCAATTTTCTGGAAAGATGGATCGGCAGCTCAGCTGTGTATGCCAATTCACCTTCATGCCACTCACAAAGGATGGATCAAACATTTCTTTCCCCATTCACCCTTAGTATCAAACTGTAATAAAGACAATTTACTACAGTGACACCATTTCCCAATCACTCATGGATGCCTCACCCCTCAGAACTTGTCTTATTCAGAGGAACCACTCCTGTATGCCTTTTTTTTAAAAAAGAAGAATCGCCAGACGTGCTTTTCCCTCAAAGCAGCCTTTTCTTTGCTCATACGCTCTACCTGCCTGTCAATTTTCTGGACAGATGGATCGGCAGCTCAGCTGTGTATGTCAGTTCACCTTCATGCCACTCACAAAAGATAGAGCAAACATTTCTCTCTCCATTCACCCTTAATATCAAACTGTAATAAACACCATTTACTACATTGACACCATTTCCCAATCATCCTATTCTGAGGATGCTGATTTATCAATAATAAGCATGTTTGAGAAATCATAGTTAAAATCCACAGCAAAAGTAGCTGAGTGTGTACAGACATGTTGATGATTTTTTAAAAAGTCATTGTGCATTAATATTAAGTCCTCACCAATCCTGACTGCATGCACTGGGATAACCTCGTCTTTCTGATGGAAAAAAGCAAGGAACAGATGGTGTTGCTGGACTCACAACTGCCACCATCCCTATCCAGCATGGCTAAAAGAAGATGATGGAAGTTGCATTCCAACAATATCTGGAAAGGCAAACATTTCTCAATCCATGGGATATAGGAAGGCACAGAAAGAGTCACGGATGTTCCAGGCAAGAGACAGCACACACTCAACTCTAGGGGATCTATGAGATGTATTCAGAATTTCCATAAAGGTGCTTGAAATGGAAAAGTTAACCATCTGAGCATTGCAATCAGTCACTGAACAAACCTCCTAGAATAACTGAGTCTTTGTCGCAGAAACAGGCTCACCCAGATCCTGACACCCCAACTCCAGGAGAATTTCAAATGTCTTTCAGCTTCAGGTATTACCTCAGCACCCCTATTTCCAGCTGTGTTAGGGAGAAATATTTGAACCATGTTCCTGAAATTCTCAGCTTATTATCTGAATAAATTTTGATGGGTAATAAGCCAAATCTCATCTACTTAATGACATGTAATTAATTCTCTTTCCAACCAACAACTGATTGCTTATGAGCATGGTGGGAGAATGACCGCCCCCTTGACATTTTCAAATGAGACATTCCCGGTATCCCTGTCCGTGAGCCACCACACCACTAACTAAAGTATAACTTTATTATGTTACAATTCTAATTTAATGAGGAATATTTTCAGTCCTTTTGAAGTGTAACTGTAGTTCCTTTAAAAAAATAATTTCAGGGGTGGATTCACTGAATGGCAAAGGAATGCTGATTCATGCTGCTGACTCATGCTCAGTGGGGGGGGAGGTCAACGTGATAGTGGAGAAGGCAGAAAAATGTGTTTCATACCCTAGGTCAATGGTCAACAGCATTCAACAGCAGCTAAAATGTGATTTTTCAGACTTCTGACAAAAAAGGAAGAGGAGTTATTACTTTAAAGCATTACTATAGTGGCCATTAACTAATTTGGGATAGGAGCCTTGGAAATGAAATGACAACTAATTTGTTTTTCCACCTTTTGTCTTTTCTAAAGTCTATCAGCACTACTGAAGGAGAGACTTACCTGCAGGACTGAGTGACCCATTGGACTGTTCTCTGAGAGTTCAGCCTCATATAAGGGCTTCTCGAACTTGGGTGCATTGTCATTCATGTCCAGAATGGTGATGCGCAGTAGGGCACTGCTAGCACGTGGTGGGCTACCTCCATCCTGCACTTTGATGGTTAGGTCATAAGACTCTGACTGTTCCCGATCCAGACTGCCCATGACAATCAGCTGTGGCTGTTTCTCATCTTGGTCCTCAGCCACCTGCAAGCCAAAGAGTTTCTGGGCATCTGAACCAGGCATCAACTCATACGAAGCAACACCATTGGCACCAGCATCACGGTCCATGGCCAGTGGAATGGGGAAGAGTGAACCTATATTGGTGTTTTCAGGAATGGCTAGTGTGATTACAGGAGAGGCAAAGTTGGGTGTATTGTCATTGATGTCCAGCACTTCTATCTGTCCCTCCAGCAGGCGTGGACTGTTGTTCAGCAGGTCTGTGATAGAAACCTCAAATTCCAGGAAGCAAGGCTCCCCTGGGAACAGCTGCTGGCACTCTCGCAGGCTCTCCCGGTCTATGGAGGTCTCTGTGGTGTAGATGTCACCAGTCTTGCCATCCACACGCAGGTAAGGGGCACCTACCTCCAGCTTATACAGGTGCCCCACATCTGGGAAGCCATAGTCTGCTGCCAAGCTTCCGATAAGTGTGTTGGGTGGCTGCTCCTCCTGTACCTTGTAGACTACACGTGTCCCAGAGCTGAGGCAGGGAAGTTGGAGGAAGAGCCACAAGCCCAGGCAGGAAACCAGCTGCTGCATTCTGAACCGTGGCAGGGCTGAAAGAAAGCAGAGAGAACTTGTCATTAGAAAGAAAACGCCTCACCTACCCTATGCATGAGGCCTTCTTCTTCACCTAATTTGCATCAGGCAGCATGTCAACTCCTGAGGGTAATATACATACTTCTCCGTCAAGCAGGCAAGCACTTGTACGCTCCTAGCTGTCTGTTGGAAACAGGTGAAGCATTCCCAGGCTTGGAGGTGCCTGAGCACATCATCCCTGCCCCGATACCAGATTAGCCACACCCGCTTAGCACTGGAGGAAGCCGCACCTACAATTACTCCACACTTTAGTCACCAGAGGAAAAACTGCTGCAATTGCCAGCAGAGATATAAAGAAGGGGAAGAGTTTCTCTTTAATGGCCTAGTGTAGTTTGGCTGTGTAGGCAGACCCAGTCAAGGGAGAGACAGGCTCTCGTAACCATGACGTCGACATGTATAAACACCATGGTGTAAGCTTGCTTCACAGAAGTGTTCAAGTACTCCTGCAAATAATACCTAATAAAACAACAAGGTATGGTCCACACCCACATTCATCCCAATATGATACACAGGGTAGATGATTACAGGGTTTATACGATATGAGCTACTGCCAGCACAATACACAGTTTTAAGCCTGTGGTGGGCACCTTCAATGAGCCGGGAGGGGGGGATTTTCTTCTCAAAAGCCTCTGGAGGATGCACGAACTACCAAAAATGTAGAATAATGCATGAGGTAGCCAGAAATTCAGTTTTGTAACACTGGCATTTCTCAGTATTACATTCTACAGGTGGCTTCAGAAATCCCTGAATCCCTTGCTCCCAGAGGCTTCTTAAGTAGCAATTAACGGTTGTTGTTTTTTTGCCTAGGGAAAACCATTCTCTGGCAGGGTGCGCTGGTATTCAGTGTGGTTGCAGGAACAGCCACAAGGGCCCAAAACGTGACTGTAGGGCCACACTTTGTGCATCCCTGTTTTAAACCAACCTCACAAGAATGGGAAGGCCGAGTGAACCTTGAGCTGATTACCTGGGATTGAACCCTCTGTCATTTAACCACCGCACCACAAGGCTCTTCCAAGCTAAATGCTTAGAAACCTTTCTGAAAATTCTTTGTTTTTTTCCCCACATAGAGAGGCTGGCACAGCCCCCAAAGATTCCTGCAGCTTAAAAAGGAAGTCCTTCAAATCCTAGAGCTTCTCCCCACTTTTTCCATGCTTATCAGTTCTTATACCTAAGCTTCTCATTTCTAAAACTTTAGTAAAACTTACAAAAAGTGGCAAGTAATGCAACAAGTAATACAGTGAGCTACTTTTTAGCAATGACAATAAATGGCTTCATGACAGGTAATAGAATAAATTATGTTTTAAAGATGATTTTTGAAGCCCTGACTGGGAACCACTATTTTAAACCATTAATGGTGCTTAACATACATTATATGCTGCAGGCGGAGCAATGACACACACCCGCAAGTTCTGAGGAACTCTCCAGCTTGCTATGGCACTGAGCTTGCTGGACACATAAAGTACCCAAGTGTAGAGCTGAAGCAATCTCCCCACATAGGTACAATGATGGGGCTAGTGAAGCACTTCAGTTTCCTTTCATGCTTCCTGAGTGCATTTGAGTATCCAACAGGCACAAAACCAAAGCAAACTCACTTGCCCATCTCCAGTTTTGAACTGAAGAGGCAGCAGAACTTGGATTAGGGAACCCTAACTGCCCCCAGCCTCAAGGCCAAGACTAAAAAGAGGAACACTGGAACGCTCCTGATCTTGTCTTACTTTCTGAAGGTGCAATGTGAGGTGGGGCAAATGCCCACTCTTCTTCTGGGAGGGCACTGGTTATGGTGGTCATAAATTTGGGGTTGGCCACCAGTGTCAGCTACCAGGAACAACCTCTGACCTTGCCAGACTCAGACTGGTTATGGTGGTCATAAATTTGGGGTTGACCACCAGTGCCAGCTACCAGTAACAACCTCTGACCTTGCCAGACTCAGAATTAGTGACCTTTGTTACTCCATCTAGAAGATTATATAGTTGCTTGGGACCTGCTGTTCCACAGCATAATTTATGAGATGAATTCATGGCACAGAATTGTTCACACTGCTGTGTACCTACCCAATGCCATGTGGTTGGTTACTACAGACTGTACTACCCAATGCCATGTGGTTGGTTACTACACACTGTACTACCGTGTTTCTCCGAAAATAACACAGGGTCTTATATTAATTTTTGCTCCAAAAAATGCATTAGGGCTTATTTTCAGGGGATGTTTTATTTTATAGTCATGTCATCTTCTGGTTGCTGCACAATGGTGGAGGGTGGGGTTTCACTTAACTAGGGCTTATTTTGGGATATGGCTTATACTACAAGCATTCTGAAAAATCATATTAGGGCTTATTTTCAGGGAAACAGGTTATATTAGGGAAACAGGTTATATTGCCACCAGTTTCTTCCCAGCAATTTACTCTCCCCTTTCTGGCATGCTAGTTTTACAGCATAAACCATTCCCTTCCCCAGGGGAGATGAAGAAAACAGATACAGAATTGACTGCTAGCTTCAGACTTACTCCTGCAGTGGTCATTTCAAAGCACTCTAGACTGGTGATGGCAGATACATACACTGGAGCAGGGAAATGGCCATGATTAGCACAGGGATAAGCAGGGATGCCTCCTACAAAATATGCAGGAATTCCTGCAATTTTTTTCCTGACACATAATTATTTCACAGAAGTAATAACAACAAAATGATGTTTTCCATTTAATTTAGGCTTCTTGAATGAAGAAGGCTCAATAGATAGTAGAAACTTTAACATAAGTACCATTTCAGATTTCTATAGGGAAGTGTTTCAGAATCAGGAAGTGTTACAGAAGAGGAGGGTAACTTCTGGGGAGAGGGGCTGTACTTGGGTTCTCTCTCTCTCTCTCCCTCCCCCACTGTCACCAAATTTGCCAGTGTATAGATAGCTAACTTTGTTTTCAAGCTGAATTGTACTTCTAGAAGGAGGCTTCTAGGAACATTAGTCACTTTGAAAATAAAACAAACTGTTCCTACATACTGTGACTTCAAGGTTAACTGCCGCTCTTTTTTTCCTCCAAAACTGTGCTGCAACAGTGCAGCAACAATTTTTCTAGCTGGAGTCAGGAGTGGCAAGGGCCACAAGAGTGAGTAGGAGGGCTGTATGCATCCCACCTCTTATTTACAGCAAGATTCAATGACATTCTCTCATACATCTCTCCAAAAGGAGAGTGATAGTGCATTTTAAGAGCATAATAATCACAGACAAGTGTTTCTGAGGAGTAAGCACACAACAGAAAAATGAGTGGAGTCAGTGTGATGTAAAATCTTACCCGTGATGTATACTACATATGCACCTTCTAATTTCATTTGCTATTTGTGTTTGCATTATCCTAACACTTTTTAAAATATACCTAGTACATTTTTTTGTTCTTGGTGTTTTTATTTTTGGACTCCCAAGTCCCAGAATTCTCAATTTCTGGGAGTTCTACCTGCCAGATCCACACCTAAATTGTGATTACCTGCAGAAAGGGCTAGCTGGATGGCTTTCTGGTCCAATCTCCAGCCCAACTTTCTGTTAGAAAAGGAAACTGTCTCGTGCTTGTTTGGAGTTGCTGGGAGATCCTCAAGCACTCTCGGCAAGTCCCAAGACAAATTCATTTTCTAACACCAATCTGGTCAGGCGTCAAAACATCCTCATATTGACAGGCAATCAGCTTCAACTCACTCCACAGGACAGATCAACAATTGAAGTACCCAGTGGATACCACTCAAGATATTCATTTATTCTGCATACCTTTATCTAACTGGATATATCAGAACTGTGGCTGTGTAATGCTTAATCATCATTAATTCATTAAAGCAACTAAGTGCCCAAAGGAATGTTTCCTAGCATTCCCCAAAGCCAAATAATTGTCTCTTTTCACTCAAGAGGATCTCTATGTTCGATCAAACCACTGGCCCATCTAGCACAGTTTTATCACTAATGACCAACAGCAGCTCTCCAGATTTTGTGATAGGATTCTTTTATAGTTCTACCAAGCAAACCTTGATATTCTGTGATGGTCACCCATCTGAGGACTAACCAGGTCAGATTCTGCCTAGCATTAGAAATGACACAAGATCAAGCATGTTCATTGGTACACTCCTGAATCTACTCAATATAGTTGCCTCTTGTACTCCCAGTCTGATGTCTGTAAGTCTTTGATTTCAGCAACCCCTCTTCTTTTTGACTGTGATACCAAGTGTATACCTTGTACTGTACTTTGCAATTTCAAATTTATTTGAGTCTCAGCCTCTTCTTGCTATCCTTCCTTGCATTCTACTTCTCTGTTTTGATGCCTAATCCTTGTTTCCAGGGTCAGAGTTCCTCTCCTCCGGTCTGCAGCACCCCATCATCATGTATACAAAGGCAGGTTAATTGCCTTGGGTATCCACATTGAACTTCAGCCCCAGTAAATTACCTGTGATTAATCTTTTCCTTATTCGTCTCAATTATGAAAACAAACTGCAATGTTCTCTTCCTTGCTATTATGTATAGTGAAGAATGTTCTGAGACTTTTGATTTGTTCTGTTTAAAGCACTTGATGGGTTATTGACATCTTTCTTAGCAATCAGTCTTAATGTGTGTCTAGGCTTTGCTTCTCAAAGGGAAGGGATGCTAGAGGCATTCTGTAGGAATTACAGAGATCTTGAAGTGGCAGGGGATGGGGGAGGAAGGGACTTTTTGTCTTGTTCTTGACTAGATGATAGGAATCTTGAGGAAAGGAATGTTGCATCGCTCTTCACTGTTTTACAGTTGTGTCTTTTATGTTGAGGGGTGAGTCTAAATATATGAGGAATTAAGAATTCAGCATTCCACCAAGCAGAATGAAGACTACATCTTGCAGGCTGATATGATTACCCCATTTTGCACCCCAAAGGCTATGCCCACTAATAAGTTTAACCAGTAAGTAAGGTATTTTGAGACCCAAAAACAAAATTAACAGAAATATCAGAAATTACTC